TATATATATATATATATATATATATATACCATTTCACATAAATAACCCCCGACTATCTGCACAAAGTCATTTTAATCCCAGAGCTTATATAAATGTTAAAATAATCTTTCTTTAAATTGAAGCTTAAATAATCCTCATGAAGGACTAGAACTTAATTTTAAAATAACCGACTATTTCAACAGTTTACTTCCTATTGAAATTTAAACGTTAGATACGTCGCCAGTTTTAATTTAACCAAAATGTTCATCCCTAAGCTCTTGGGTATACCATGAATTAACGCAAATAAATAAACATAAAAAAAATTATATATTTGTCGCATGCTTTTCAGTATATTTTAATGTGATTATGATTGCACATTATTAAAAAGTAAAGAGAATTACATGCATTACCACTCATATCCAACACCTAAACTTTAATTTTACATATATATCATCTTATTTATGCATGAAAATACATATCTCGCCTTTCAAAAGTTAAAAATAATGACACTCTAGATTTCATATATGTAGATAGACAGGAATTGAGTAGGGTTGGCAAAACGGCTCGTTGTTCACTAACAGCTCGTGCTCGACTAGTTCGCTAAGTTAACGAGCCGAACACGAACAACACGAACAGATTTATTCGTTCGTGTTCGGCTCGTTTTGGCTCGAAATACTACTAATCAATTATATATATACCTTTGATGAGTAATATTTTAAAAAAAAAATTAATTGACTACAAGTCTAAAAGGATTTATAATCAATTAAAAGTATTAATTAAGAAAATAGAATAAAAAATATTAAATTAAATTCAAATGAAGTTTTAATATAAACAATAATTTTTAAATCTTGCCACAATCCTTAACATCTTATAACTACGTGATTAGGGTTGTCAAAATGAAGCTTTGTTCAAGCAAACGAGACGAACACGAACACACTTTTTGAACTCGAAATATAAAGGAGCCGAACACGAGCCGCTCGTGTTCCGCTCGTTTAGACCCCTAAGTGGTACATAAATATAAATATATAATTACATAAACATTATGTGATAAGCTTTTATGCAAAAGAAAATGAAACAAACTGCTTATTCTTGTGTGCTACAAGTCTACAACATACACAAAGCTTGAAGTAAAATAATGTAAATCACATCAAAGCTAAAAAGGGTAATGTTATAAATACACAAAAGTTTCAAAGTTTAGATGTAAGAAATTTATAAAGTGGGCCATGATATTAATTGGAATATTTAGTACAATGAGACTATAAATTGTACCTTCATCTTGAGGCCGGAAGCCAGGTGACAATTATTGTTTGTGGGAGATAAATATCCCAATTTCAAGCTGCAGTGTTGGGGCAAAGGATCTGCATCAGAGGAAGTAAAATAAAAAAGCTAGATTAATCTCAAGACAATGTTTTAGGAAAAATTATTGTATCAGAAGTTCTGATGCAGTTTTATATCAGGACTTCAATTAGAGTATGTAACGTGTACGGACAGACCCACCTATGTATTGAATTGAAGGTTTGTCTGTACACGTGACAGACCCTGTTTGGAGTAACCATAATAAGAAAATATGGGGACAAAACTAACACTTTGATAGACTCAGACTGAAATGACAGATTGCAAAGAGTTATGAGACGACTATAACAACTTTCTCTCAATATTATATTTAGCTCATATGGAGAAAGAATCAGGCATAGTTATTTTTACACACAGATCGCCCAAAATTTGATATTTACAAATTAACCACCAAGGATATTTTTTTGAACCACCGAATCAATGTATTTACATGTGTCACGATCAAAATGAAAAGTATGGGTCGGGGTTTTGCCAAGAATGTTGATATTTGAGTGAGAATTTGAGAAATGGATGGAAGAGGGTGGTTGATTTGTAAATAGCAAGTTTTGGGTGGCCTGTAGGTAAATGTAAAAGGACTTCAATTTTTTATGTTTCTCAGGACTTGCTGAGATAAGATAAATAGAAAGGATGGGAATATAAAGGATGTGTCTCAGATAAAATACAAGATAACTTCAATTCATTTCATTTTGCATCTCTTCATTTAGCAACATGTAAAATGAAATGTGGCGCAGATAGTTTCAATTACTTCATCTCTTGACACTATTTGTGCTACTACATTTCGTTTTATATGTTGCTAGTAATATCTATTATGTACCAACAAAGATGTCATTTTATTTCTACCAAAATGACTCGCAACAACCCAAACAAGTGCTTCAAAAAACAAAAACAAAAAAAATACTTATTGAATAGAAATTGAAAATGCACAATTGTGTTGTCTTTAAAAGGTATTTACATTCAATTATGAATTCTTTTTTAAAAATAAGTGATTCATTATCTTATGCATTATATGCTCATTAAAAGAGTGACAATTAACATAATCCTTTTTAATTCAATAAAGCGAGTCACTTTAATCTTCATTAATAATTTGATCACCCATAGTTACAACTCTGTCATTAGAGCTACTACTACTAAAATTATATTCCACGTATTCAATTTTAGTTTCTACTCAAACGAAGGCCGCCTTTAGACTCCAATGTAAACCTCCATAATTCAAGTTTTTCCTGAGCTTTCTCTCCAGTCTTATCCACGAGAAGGATATCATCGGCGAACCGCATACACCAAGGTATATTCTCCTGCAAATGTCCAGTAAGAGCATCGATAACTAAAGCAAAAAGATATGTGCTTAAAGTCGATCCCTGATATATCCCAACTGAAATAGAAAAATATTTAGTCAATCCTCCTTCAGTTCGAACACAAGTAACAGCTCTAGTATACATATCTTTAATAACTTCAATATAAGTCATATCAACACCTTTCTTCTCTAGAACTCTCCAAAGGATGTCTCTTGGAACCTCATCGTAAGCTTTTTCTAAATGAATAAAAATCATATGCATATCCTACTTATTCTCTCTGAATTTCTCCACCAAACCTCAATAAATGTAAAGCTTCCATAGTAAACATGCCCGACATAAACCCAAATTGATTATGAGAAATCTTTGTAATACAGCTTAACCTATGTTCAACTACCCTCTCCCATAATTTTAAAGTCAATCCTAATCCTCCATATTCAAAAGTCAATCTTATAACTGCTACCAAAATGTATTACGACACCTATCAGCAAAATCATAAGCACTCACCAACCTTTAACCCACCAAAAAAAAAAAAAAAAAGCCCTACATTACAATCCTAATCCTAAACCTCATCTTTTCTTTTTCATTGAAACTTCTATTGAAAGAAAAAGATGTTGTAGCTTCAAGGAGAAACCTCAACAAGGTGTTCATAAACTTACTATGGAGAATATATTATGAGAAATCCTCCAACTATAATTGAGGCTCATCGCTTTTGACAGGAAAAAACTGGGTAAGCTCACCCATAACCATAACGATCACTCGGCAGAATGAAAAGAAGAAGTGAACCGCTTCCATCAGGAAGTTTCTAATGATGAACCAATATCCGGAGAATTTAATATGAAATATCAAAGAAGTCAGAATGTTTAAGTGAAGATTAACTTGCAAGATTTATTACCGATCGATGGATCCAGCCAATTTTATCGAGTGGCTCCAGAGAGTGAGAAACAAGAATGCTTCAACCGATATAAGAGTCAAGCTATCCGCTATTAAATTAAGAAAGAACGCTTCCTTATGATAGGAGAATTTAAAAACTATTGGACGAGAGGGTAAAAATAAAATCACGATCTGTTCCAAGATAAAAAGAAATCTATAATGCAAGTGCCTACTAACACATTATAGAGAAGATAATTTTTTCAAATTTTATGACTTATAGCAGCAAGATCTCTCAGTAGAGAAGTATACCGCTATGTTCGAGTAGCTTATGTTAAAGTGTGAGCTAATGGAGTCTGAGGAGAACACCATAGCTCAATACGAGGAGAAAATGAGGTTGTTCATTGATTACATATTACAACTACAACTTTATTGAACACTAAAAGATGTACATACATTAACCTTAAAGGTGGAAAGACAACATAACAATATCGGATCCACACCACCTTTCAAACAGTATTAGCCACCAAATTGAGCAGTAAGAGTACACCCAGTCGAGCACCTAAACTTACCCCCGCCTAAAGAGAAATCCATAAATAGTGGACGAAAGATGGAGACTACAAGTACTGTCAAGTCTCACAACTTTGGCCACACTGCATCAGATTACCGAAAGAAGAGGTTGGTTTCTTTCACTAAGTTGAGAGCAGTTAAAGATATTGACAGTGAAACAGAAGAGAATGAGGACATCAGAGAGGAGTATCAGCATCCAGGCAATGAGAAAGAGATGTTAGTGAATCAAGCTAAACTCATGAGAGAGACTCCATTAGAACTAACATTGGTTGTCCTAAAAGTTCAAGAGTCAGATGAGCGAATACAGGGCAACCCCTGTTGAGGGAGTTTTCGGATGTCCTGATGATAGTCTATCTTCTAGGTGGCTGCCAATAAGAGTGGTACAACAAGAAAAAGATTTTATTTTAGGGTCAGTTCCTCTAAATATACTTGTTTGTCGGGTGCATCCAGCTAAGTACAAGTAGTGGGAGAAGCACATTACATATTTAATGGTTCAAGACATAATTCGTGAGAAAACTAGCTTATGTGATATTTTAGTTTTGGTTGTGCCAAAAAAGAATGGTTATTTATTATATCATGAAAAACTTTGGACTAATCTGTGTTTCAATTTTGTATGGGATGAGCTTAAGCATAGAATTTATAAAGTTGATTCAGTAAAACAATGCAATTACTTTATTTTGATGGAAGATAACTCAATACAACAATGCAATTAATTTATTATGATGGTGACATATCACTTCTAGGGTCTTATAGCGAAGGTGTAACCCCTCCTACCCTGACAGAATGACACTGGACGTGCTTACAGAATGCGGAATAGCATTTGAGCCGAACGTGGATGTTTGCTTTCACATTTCCCTCGATCATAGGATCAAATCGCAAGCAATTGGTTGGAATTTCCTGTTCGCGCTTCCGATAGATTTTCTCGAGGGCCTTCCCGCTCGGAAATCATCTCGCCAAGCCTGTGAGCCCTTTTACTTCTAATTAATTAAATTTTATTAATAGAAGCTTAATTAACATTTATTTTCTATTTATATATTTCTAATTTGGGTTATTCTGTAAAAACTATTTATAACTTATTATCTTACTATTTTAACAAACTTCTAGATTTTGTTTTGTGTTTAGAGATTGTATATCTCATTTCTACCGTAACGAATACTATAACATTTTTCATTTGCAAGTGATGTATTTGTAGCTTGTGCAGGAACTGGTGGGGAAGATTCTCGCAATCTATACCAGTCGTTTTGCCATCCGCCTCACTTTCCCCGGATGGAATAGCCAATGAACGTCTATCTTCCTCCAAACATTGTCGATCACCAATATTTATATTCCCTTATTATTCCTCCACCACCTCCCCTTCAAATCTGCTTCCTAACACCTTATAGGAGCACTAAAAGCTTATCCATTATTATTTTTTTTTTAATGAATGGCAATTAGATCATGAAACAACATAAGTACCAACATAATGCGTGAATTCATACACACCAAATTTTATCAGTATAACGAGCAAATTAAACTAATATTCAAAACTTTTGCATAATAAAGAATACAGTTTTATTTACTCGGACTACTTTATATGCTTATAACTATATGTGTGATTCAAATTTTAACTGTGTGCACTTAATAGCCAAAAGACAACAGCATTCATACAACTTTCACTATTTATGATAAGCTTACTTTATCATAATCTTAACATAAGTTCAAAATATAAGTTTTTTTTTAATCAGAGTCAACTTTATGGTTATGAAAATAATGCATCTAGTAGCATTTACAGAAAATTCCAATAAAGCAACATCAAACTCATTTATTTCTTGATCAAATTCATGAATATCACCTATCAAATTAATTTTCTTAACATCATTATCTTCCACTTCAGTATGTAAATTCCCACTTTGACATTCATTTACATAATAACCAATATAGTGATATTTAAGCACATGTTTTTGTAGAAAATTTAGAACGAATGTACTAGCAACAGAATTTTCTTAATTATCATTATTAGAAATGGTGTTGCAACGCTAGAAGGCAGTAGGCACGATATTTTAAATTCAAATACTTAGATTATTATACCTTTTAGCACATGCATGAATTCTCTTAGCAACACAAAATTTCAATGTATGCTAAAAATCTAACACAAATTTAAAAGCACGCTCAATTAATGTAATCAAATGTGGCCATTTTTCTCTTAAAACAAGGACCTAAAGCATATATAAGCCTAGAAAGTGTTATTTTGGGATCTTCAATAATTTTAGAGCACGCCAATAACTCCTAAAAAATAT